CAATGGAGATTAATCATCACAGGTGTAATGTGCAAATAAAGGGGTGTATTGCTGGCGAGTTCCAATAAGCATAAATTCAGACTTATCTTCATTCAGCCATAATTTATCAACAATCAGCCACGCCCTTACGGCCCTGATACATCTTTCCATAGCACCTCTTGCTTCCGTCTCACCCATTGAACTGTCTGGCTTGAATGACAAATAAAGCTGAGTGTCGTCAGCGTACGCATGAGCATTATGCAAATGGTTCTTGATAACCTGGAACAGCTTGCTCGCATAAGCAAAGAACAGAAGTGGTCCGAGGCATGACCCTTAAGGAACTCCAAATGACAAATCAAATTTATCAGACAGTACACCATTAATCATGACACGTTGAGATCGAGCTGACAGGTAGGAGGCGATCCATTTGAGCGCATCTCCAGTAACACCAAATGATGTCTCGAGACGGCGTAAGAGGAAGATATGGTCGACCGTATCAAACGCAGCGCTAAGGTCAAGTAATACAAGCAAAGACACATGTTGACGATTCATGTCAAGTAAGATGTCATTTACTATCTTAACCAGCGCCTTCTCAGTGCTATGTGATTTCCTGTAAGCTGACATGGGCGTATAATTGGCTGCTCTTTCAGTAATCTTGGACACAAATTGGAAATTACTAACCGGACGCAGGTTCTTGTAAGCGAAATCAATAGTGCCCTTCTTGAACAAAGGGTTTATGGTAGCTTCCTTCCAATTGTCAGGAAAATGACCAGTGGACAGAGATGCATTCACCATATTTGTGATCACCGGAAGCAGAACATTTAATGAATCACAGACCACATTAGTTGGAAATGGGTCTAATAAGCACGACTTTTTGGCAGAGGCTCTAATGAGCTCGCATACATTTCGCTCACTAAGGTTGCCACAAGAGCGCAGTACTTCGTCAGTGATATACGAGGCCTCCCCGTCCGGCGGGACAAGATTACGATCAGCAGAACTCAAGCAGATGGAATCAGTATCCTGACTTATGTGCTCTACCTTGCGCACAAAGAATTCGCCGACATCATTTGCAAGCACAGTCTTGTCAAGAAGGACTGGAAAGTTCAAAACATCAGATGTGCCAAGTAGCTTTTTGGCTGCGCAGAAAAGCTTTCTCTGATCGGTTCCATTATCCTATAAAAATTTGGAATAAAACTCTTCCCTTGTCTTGTTCATGAGATTAGTAACCTTATTCCTCTTCCGCTCGAGGTCAGCAAAATCCACAGGCAGCCGCGTTCTTCCCCATTTTCTTTCAGCTTTCCGGAGTGAGCGCTTAGCATCATTAATTTCATTGCTATACCAAGGGACCACACGTCTGCCAACCCTAGTGCGAGTCCTAAGCGGAGCATGCTTATCTAGGAGAGCAGAAAGGGTGCTGTTGTACGAGTTTACATACGCCTCTAATTCATTAGCAGTAGTTGGTTTTACTGCTGCGCACGGCTCGGTAGACGGCATATCTCTTTTAAGTTGCTCCATACTAATTTACTTTATTTTCCTGTAGCTGGAAGTCTTCACGGAAAGAGCGGGTCTCGGTGGTGTGAGCCAACACAGGACAGCAGCACGATCAGAGATAAACTGATCTATTACAGGCGTGTGCGAGATCAGGCATTCAGACATGCGTGTTATAATAAAATCAAGAGTGTGTCATCGCGATGGGTGGGCTTATCAACATGCTGCTCCGGACCCAGGCCCTTTCCGTGCATCAGAGTCTTGAGGATCGTTTACTTGGATGTTGAAATCGCCCATTATAAGCAATTTTTCCTTGCATAATAGTAGAGACTCAAGGTATTCAGGAAATTCGGCGCACAGAAACACATCAACGGGAACACGGTGCTCCTCTGAGTAAGGCGGTCTGTAGACAATCACAAGCCATATGTTATGTGGGGAAGATCTTACAATCCACTCGGAGAATTCAAAAAAGTCGTGTTCACTAGCTCCAGCATTAACCTTAGAAACATCGAATGAGTCACGATAGATGAGCCCAGTCCCTCCTCCGCGGCGATCAAGTCTTGGATGGTCAACAATGCAATAGCCATTAGGACATAGCTCAACCCTAACATCCGAGTCATTCGCTGTCAGCCAGTGTTCAGTAATGGCGACTAAATCGACTTTGCGATCAACTATAAAATCAAGAATCTGTGCTGTTTTATTTCTGACAGAACGAGCATTGAGGTTGCATAACAGCATCTGCTGGTACAATCTTATGTCCATTCTGGTAGGACATATTTCAATCAAATTTCTAGTGTCCCTATCCGCTCGAAGTTCTTGATAAGCACGCTGCGATACAGTTACCGCTATTGGGTTTCCAGTGTTGGGAAGAGCCGTCGTGGTGTCACTCTGCCATTGTCTGGAAACAATTGAACAAGAGCCATTGTCTAAAGATCTCAGTATGAATTTAAGTCGTATTCTTTTGTCAAAAATTCTCTAATCTTCAGAATAAGCTTTCCGGATTCAAATGTTTTCGGATTCGAAGTTTCAACTTTAAATTTCGAATTCATAATCTCCGGAGACACGACCAAAGAGGGGGGGGGTTTCATTTCGGATTCGTCTTTTTGTATGTAAACAGCGAACAGAATCTGGCGCTAAAACGCATCGGATTCGTCACAAATTCGGAACAATTTCTGCCGGCGTAAACCTGGTCTAAACCTTCGTGTGATGTATCAGTCGTAGACAGGTAGAGAGACATATTGGAATAACATCCGTTTCAATGGTCTTGGCTGAAAGAAAACAACTTTATTTCTTTCCTAATATGGATAGCACTTATTTACGTACGTCGAATATTGAGTTTTATATTGCACAAGAGACTTTACGCTCACAGTGTCTCTTTCCAACCAGTTTGTATAAACGAGTGTCGTTAAACTGTCATGGAAGCTTAAAGAAATGTCTGGACGACACTGTGATGGACTGGCACTTTTTCCCAGAAAAGCGAAGTAAACAAGAATACACCTTGTCACTGCATGCCACTGACACAGAGATTTGCCTTGTCTAGCAAGATGAGCCACCTAGCTCGCAAACTGACTTTGTAATTTTATATCAATAAAAAATTAATAAAGGAAAATCCCCTCCCCATCCATGCCGATGGATCGCGCGTATGTTTCCCACACAGTTCAGCCAAGTGCTTGAATTGTTTGAACTACATTAGAAGTGTTTTGGCTAAGCGTTTGGGAATTGTTTAGGCCTATTAGATTATTTTAACGTCTTTGTGCGAGTCTTGGGAGCCTTGTTTTGTCCTGTGATATGAGGGCGCACATATAGTGTTACTTTTAGGTGATTTTTCGTTGACCGTTATAATAGGGCTTAATTAGCTATCAAGAAGAGAGTAGCATTCGATCCAAATAAGACTTTCGAAATCAGACTCCTGGTGCCTCCTGTTTAAGCGCGGTGTTAGAGCTAGTTTACCCCGACAGTCCAACAATAGTCAGCCGCATGGCCTAAAGGACCCTGAGATACTTTGGTAAGTGGCCCCATCGATCCCCCTGAATCACCGTAATACCCCAGAATAATTTTACACACACATGCTTTTGCATGCGTCTAATCGTGCTGAGCTTCAGAGGAAAGATTGAATAATTTCTCGGATCACAAGGAGGGTGAAAGTAGCGTTTGCCTCAATTAGAGAAAGAACAAAGAACATATGGTAGAATGGTCTTCTAGTGACTTGCACCACTAAGGCATCTGATGGATATCCCATCTTTAAATAATACTTGAGTCACGCGAAATACTAGACAACCCCTTGTCGTGAAACCCGAGTACAGTCCACCCCTCGTAAGTAGACATCCTTGGGAATTGGAAAAAGTGTCCGTTAGTTGAATTGTCCGCCTATAGCGATTATTCCCTTAGCGGACACCAAAGAAAAACAGTGTAAATGTCCGCTTACGGAAGAATGTCATGTCAGACTCATGTTAATGTCAAACGAACTGACAGCTTGCTTTCCCGTGGACAAATGGAGATTCACAAAACCCATCGCCATTGTTCTGTTGCTCTGTCAAAGGTCATAATTTTGTTTATTTGCAAATTCAAGACCAATTTTATTGCCTCGAGTTAGTCATTATCTCTGGGGTGTCCGCTTACGAGACAGTGTAAACAAAAGAACAATCCAATTTTCATTTTTTAAAGTGTCCGCGTCCGCTTAAGAGAGGGTGCCCGCTTACGGAATAAGTAAATACAGAGATTGACTGGGAGGCATAAAAGTGTCCATAAGTAAAACTGTGCGCCCAGTGTCCATTGTTAAGTCAAAATGCCACGCTAGTACATTTACTTCGGATTTTATTGCAGTGGTGGAAAACTAAAATGATAAAATCGAATACTAAGTAAACGAAACGACCGAACAGAAGGAAAACGAAAACGAAAATAGCACTGAAAATAACGAAAATTTACGTTAATTATTCAACTCCTACCGGGCTAAATATAAAGTCTCCCTAAGATCTAATACTCTGTAAAATCCTTCTCTCCACATCTTTCTGCTGTCTACAACTATATGCGAAAATTGATACTTATATTCTTATATTTAAGTTTTAAAATATAACGTTCGAGTGAGACTCAAGTGACAATTTTAGATGGTTCGTTTCGTTTGCTTTCTATTCTTTTGGTTTCCTTTCGTTTCTTTTCGTTTCACAAAGTGCTGATTCGTTAGCCCGCAAGAGGCAAATCACCTTCGTCAAAGAAAACAATTTCCACCGAAATATGAATAAAAACATCATCATTTCTGATTCGATGCGGCAGCCTTATTTCTTCGCTAACTAGTCTCACTTGTGTAAAAAAAAAAGTAGAAAAGAAAAAGAAAACGAAATCATCACGAATTTCAAAGAAAATTGTGAATTCTTACCTGCTTACATTAAAAGTAAAAAATTAATATTTGAAAAAACAGTCGAACCTGTATTGAGGGGGTGGGTGACCGCCTAAAACAGGTTTGACTGTATCGAGATCCAGTCTCGCTCAAATCCATAGGAGCGAGCTATTTGGGGGCTACCGGTTTTTTCACGCACAGCTGCGTCGCTAGGAGAAGGCAACGATCGAAAGGATGATTTGATTGTCGTAAGCACAGAAATGACTCTCTCGCCATTTGTGTTGCTCAGGAGTTGCTCCTCTCTTCGATTTTGTTGGCGGCGATGTTTCCGAGTTGTTGTAGGTTTAATTTTGGTATGTGTGCTTGGGTTGATGTATCTTACGATAAATGCTCCACGAGACAACTTCCACATCAAGACACTTAAAGTACATAAAGGTTGCAAGCACGAGGCAAATTGTGGGACGAAACCAACTGGCTTCTACAACGCAACAAGAACAACTACATTTACAAGCAAGGGTAGTATCGAGAATCAACATTTAGCAGTTAAAGCAGGGTATTTGAATGTCCACACATGGTTTGGAATATGTGGAACAGCAGTTGATAATTTGAGATTGTGGCCTCATTTTCCATATCTGCCGGATAAGCGTTCCTCTATTTGGGGATTTCAAAGAACTCAAGACCATGCTACGGACAGTAATGGCGAAAGAATTTTTGGTTTCGTCCACCCGCAAAGAGATGGTATTTACCAATTTGCCATTACTTCAGATGATGCGTCGGAGTTATGGTTGAGCTGCAATGAAAGTGTTGCATTTAGTGAAAGAATCGCCCGTGTTTACTCTCCTAGTGAGTCTGCTTGGACTGAAGAAGGAGACTACCAGAAATATCCTGAACAAATATCTAAAAAGATTACCCTTCAAGCCAATAAGAGATATTACATCGAGACTTTGAGTAAGCAAGGTTCAGGTGCAGCTCATGTGGCTGTATATTGGTCCTTCAATTCTTCAAAGTTTGAAATAATATCTTCAAGGTTCTTGTCCAATTATTCCGAAAGCAAGAATCATGAATCTATTCCCCCGCACGTAGGAAAACTAGGGGTTATCTCAATTCAAGGCATACAAGACTGGATTGAAGATAAGGGCAATTTATTTCATTTCAATCGTCTCCCACTATTAGATAGAAAATTATACACTAGTTATATTCCAACATGTCCTTACAGTCCGAGCTTTCTGGTACGAAGAAAACTCCAGCCACAAGAGGCTGCGTGGAAATGGATGGCAAATGAATCATATGTTTACCCAAAAGATGATACTGACATGATCACGAGTATTTTTCAATCATACTGGAGCAAGCCTAATCCACTGATTGATGAAGGCAGAGTTGAATCGGTCGTCAACAAGTTTATGACGATGGGTTCCTTGAACTCAAGGTACTATTTATTCTGATTCCTTCATCAGCCGTTCAGTAAACAAACATATTTTCGCAGATTTATAACCAATCCTTTAAACAATCTTTCGTTTATTTACGGCTGACTTGAGAAAAATGTCCTTTAATCAGATTCCGCCCCAAACAATGATTGACGAGGAAAATCAGTTACAAATTAACGGAGCGTCATTGAATAATTTTGAAGTGTCAATTTTCATTTAAAATTATTCAATGTTAAAACTGTCTGTCATCGTGCCGATCTGAATTCATTATTGCTTCTCAGAGATGAGATAATAAGGTATCAGTGTAACCCAAAATAGGTCATTTCAGGCAAGAAAAATTGTCTTTACTTTCGGAATGATCTCTCACGACAGGAAAAGAGTTATTCTGAGAAACGTCTACATCGTACTAGCTCTAATTATCAACGAAGCGGCACCTACATTGTTTTTAGGACGCCGATAAGTCTGCATAGGGCCTACCGCTAAAGAAAAGAGTTAATTTAAGAAACGTCATCAACGTACCAGCTCTAAATATCAACTGGCTTGAGGCACCTACATTTTCGTTTTAGGCGACGATAAATTCTAGTTATTTTTCGCTACCGTTTTAAAGTCTAATTAACACGGTGATGAGTAGATCAAGGTTTCTAATCTTATATTTTTCTTTAGAGACTATTTTTTGAAAAAAATTCACAAAGTCATTCAGAAGCCTGACCCCAAGAACGGTGATCGCTTCCTACTCAACCTGGAACTTGGCTTGAACAACACCAATCAAACTTTTCGGTTGTCAGAGCACGTTTACCAACCAAAAGGAAAAGACAACTTGTGCCTTCCTGATGGAATGAATTGGAATAATAGCGCCAAGGTCTACTTCATTCTACCTGTGAAAGATCAAGGAAACTGGGTGCAACATTTTATCAATCAACTTACTGACGCCAGTTTATTAACCAATGACACGAATTTTCACGTAATGGTGATTGACTTTGAGAGTAAAGACATCGATATGGCTAAGGCATTCAACACATCTTTACTCAGCAGCAGACATAATATTATTTCACTGACTGGTAAATTCTACAAAACACTTGCATTAAACAAGGCAGTGCAGCTTGTTCCTCATGCTCATGATATAATTTTCCTAATCGATCTTCATGTTGATGTTCCAGCAGACATCATGGATAGCGTGCGCATGGTAAGGATTTCACACATTGATGTTGTAGAATACATTCGAAAAAGTTGAGTATTCCGATTCTGTAACATTCATTAGTAATCAGGGACACAAACATTTATTGCCCTAGGGAATTTATAGGGATTCAATGTGAGTAAGCACCCATTTCAGACCCATATAATAATGTGAGCTTAAGATTACAAGAATTACACGGCTTTTTTAGGGAATAGTAAAAAGCCAATCAACAATCGCATGGATAAATTGAAAAACTTTTACGATCCTGAGAAATAAAAAACGTTTTTGCCCAGTATGCTCCTCAACTAGTTTGGTGGTTAGAGTAAGTAATGTTCAGCAAAGCTAGCTTGCTGCAAAAATAAAATGCATTCATGGCTAGGCGGCGAAGCACAAGAAGGCCTGCAAAGCTCCCACGCGCACCACTTGGCGGAATGATATGTATTGTTCGACTTGTTGAGAACATGTACCTTCTTGTGCATTGCCCATTTGGTAAATTTGATCTCAGGCATGCGTTTAAAGCATTGCTCTTATCAAAACAGAACAGTTTGCAACATCGAATCCCTGGTTTCGTTCTTTATGGAAAGATTTGCTGACCACGAGCTTAGTCCCATGTAATGCGAACGTCCTTTGCCGAGCCCTTAAGGAGATTTCTGAGCTTGTGAAGTAGGTCGGGTAGGATTCCAAATCATGCCTTTTTATTCCTTTTAGAACACCATCGCAGGCCGGATGACTTACTTTCCTGTTGTTGGTCGACTAGAGTGCGATAGTTCTTCTATAGAACACCGAGGCTTTTGGCAGATGAATGGCTACGGAATTATGGCCATATACAAGTCAGACTGGGACAAATTTGGGGGTGAGTTTCAGGATTTAAAGTTTGTTGCATGCTAAAGGCAGATACATGAAACTGTTTGGTCAATAGATTTCTTTGTCTTCTTTGGTAATTGCACCCCCTTTTCTCAAGGTCTGGTTAAGGTTCAAATTCACTTTTTGCGCTGTTAATGTTCCCGCTAACTTCTCAATTGGTTTTATTCATCGATCACACATCATCACCCTTAGGAATGAATACAAGGGACTACAAATACCGCTGGGGTGGAGAGGACTGGGACCTACTTAACCGCGTTATGATGTTACCTGTAGAAGTGGAACGGATCAAGTATCCAGGACTTTATCATCATTATCATGCCAAGCAGAGACAGTGGAACTAGCTTGGTAACTACTGACGCACACTACTCAGCATAAGTAGCAAGGAAAACAGTATTCAGCGGGAGTCGTGGGAGGCTCTCTGATGGCACGTTCAAGAGGTTCGTGTGGCATCATGAAAGTTTTGAATTATTTTAAGTGTTTCGAAAGAAAATTAATTCATTCTAGGTCGGTCAGTCTTAAGTTTCACCACTTTCTTTTTTGTATTGGTTGTAATTTTGGTATTCCAACTCCCTGTAAAATATCATTACAATCATTGAGTTTTCTTTGTGGTTAGTAGTGCAATCAGGTTAGCTTATATTCTTTCTTCAGGGTACTGTGCTGCAGCATTAGATGAGGAATAGGTTTTCACACATTTTTCGGCCATATCTAAAGAGTGGTTTTTGTTAGTGGTTTTTCGTATCTGGCGTAGCACAGGTTCTTTTTGTAGAACCCCCAGTTTCAGGTGGTCTCTTGCCATTGCTTTATTAAGATTATATCAGGATGCGTATGCTAGAAGACTGACTGACTGATCCTAAATAAACTTTTCAAATTGAATCTCGTGTGTGCGTGTGGTCAGAATTGGAAAACTCTCTCTCATGATCGTCTACGTACCCCCACAGATCTCCATGCGTACAGCCCATACATCCTGCATCACACAGGTCACCTTATATATTACACGATGTTGGTTTAAGAACGAGAGCCTAGCTTCTCACAGTTTGAAATTTGAAAATATTTAAAAAGATTTCAAAAGATTGTTAAAAAGCTAAAAGAAAGGGGGAAAAGGGAAAAAAATATGTATATATGAATAAACTAAGTTAAAAATTCTGAGATTATTAAACATATTTATCACCTGAAAAAAAAATTATATTAAAACTGTCAATTAAAGAACTTTATCTTAGTTTGAGTGGGATGGAGTTTCATAGTCTTCTCTTTCCACAAGTCTTTAGTCTCGGAGTCGCCAAAAGGTGTAGAGAAGACGATCTTAGTGCCCGTTTACATTTACATCTACATGTATTGGGTCCGTAAAATCGTTAAGATATCATATAAAATCGTTTAGAGGTGCGATAATTTAGTAAGTCACTGATGAAGCACGGCACTGCTACGGTGATTTACGAGCAAACAACTGAGGAAAAATAGAAATTTATTCGTTGATAACGGGATCTGACTCAGATTGTATAAGCATTATCAACTTTTTTATACAAGAAAGCATCAAAGAAAAACAAATTTATAGATCCAATTAAAAAAATAACAAACAAAACAATTTACACAAAATATTCATCGCAACAACATTTCTATGCACCATTTTACAAACTCATTTAAACTTTACACTAAATTTAACCTAAGCCGAAATCTAAAGAAGGAAACCAACTTTCTTTTTAGCCATAAAATTGCATTGTTAGCCATAAAATTGCATTGTGAATCGTCCACATACACCTCTCCTGACTGCTACCCTCAAAAGGCACCTTAAAAACTCTCTACAAGATACAACCATGTTCCAAACTACCAGCTATACTTAATATGCCATACATCTGTAAACACGCGAGTGGGTGAACTTCGCTGTTCCTGCCGTGATGTCAAAGTTGCTGTGTATGATGAGCATTTGCTGAGGTCAACAGAAAGTGGCCGAAACAAAACACGGCCCGTTAAGTGCTATAAACACATCAGTATTTGCAAGATGCACAACTCAAAAAGCGAACGAACATCGAAAATTCTAGGTACTTGTGTTCGTGTACACTTTCAAATACATCGTATGGAGAAGCACACCCTACATGGTTTAAAATGACAATTTTGCAAACGTTTTCCGCCAACTAATGTCACTACAGTGGCTGCATATCTGCTTTGTGAGGACTTCAAACGTGAATTCAATACTCCTCCACGAATCGAAGAATACACACAGTCACGATAATTCCTATAAGCTGAGAATGAAAAAAAAAAAAAGGAAATTAAAAAAAAAAATTTTGTAAATCAGTTTTTTCAAAGAAAAATATACTGTGATTCACATCAAATCTTAGAGTGAACCCTATACTTGTTTTACGCTGAAATATTTTGAAATTAAGAAATTACTTTGAATATTTCATATTTTGAAATGTAAGAAATCAAAGAAAACAATTTTGTAAATCAGTTTTTTTTAAAAGAAAAATATACTGTGATTCACATCAAATCTTAAAGTAAACCCTATGCTTGTTTTATGCGGAAATATTTTGTTATATTTTTCTATTCCATGCAGGTACAGTTTGTAAATGGATGAATTGCATTGCAGTGTCAGCCAATTCAAGATCTAATCTACACGATCTTTCAAAGCAATATTCACAGGTAAAATGACAGTACATTGATGACACTGTAAAAACTTGACAGAATAATACAACAATCCTTGATGTAATGATGACCCTGGTACACGTCAGGTTGGCATGTCAGCTGCATGCACGGCAGCCATATAATGACAAGATGATAAAAGATTTGTTTGATTTGAAAACTAATAGCAGTTGCACCCAATAAACTAACCTGTAGACAAGCCACTCCTATTCCAACAATTGCAAGAATGAAGAAATGTTCTTGAAAGAATTCTTCTACTTGTGTCAAACAGCCCTAAAACAAAGACTTTTGACTTCTGGAAATCCACTTTAACAACATATTAACACAACCAAACACTAAAGGGACTGACAGTTCCCTATTTAAACACAAATTGACATTTATAAAGCATAAAACAGTTAGAGTAAATCTAACACATTAAGCCAAAAATCCACTCATGTCTCCTGAACGAATGGCAAATTGTGTTGACTGAACAATGTAGTGCAGAGTTACTTTTTATTAACTGTTGAAAGACTTTTTTTTCCTTCAGCCAGAGATCTTTTCTCTATAGAGATGAGTACGTGACCAGTTTCTTACTTCGCTAAGGGTAAGAGGGATGAATGAGTGCCAATCAAATCCTCAAAGAGGACTCAGATTATTCATTCTCTGCAAATGGCACCTTTGAATTCATATCATTGTTCAAGAATCCCTAGTACTTGATGCAATAATGTCAAAACATATATAAATAGTGTGCTCTTTACACTGTACCTCATTATTGATATTTGATGGGTGCATTCTTTTGCCACACCCCTCAGAAACTGTTTTACAGCATGAGTCGGGAACAACATTCTCATTTCCATCCCTTTGCTGCCATGATGTACCATTCCAACTCTTTCCACCAGTGTCACCACAACATCGGTTCTGAAGTAAGCAAGGAGTAATTAAAAGTGTTGAAATACATCATCTACAATCATTTTCATGAACTGAACATGAAAAGACTGCACAAAAATATTTATGAAGAACTTGACATTAATTTTTATAAAGAAAATAACACCAACCTCTTGTTGTAGTGTATCAATTGAATTAGTGACAGCATCATTCACACCATACTGCTGGTTCATTTTCTCCTTTATTGATGTTTGTATCTCATCTTTTATCTATAAACAGAATGAACAAATACTAAAATATACACATGGATGCATTCTGACACCTCCCTTGGATGGTCTGTCCCAAAAGTAAAAAGTAGCTGCTTGCTGTAAAGAACAGACCATAAATAAAAAGGGAACAAGTTCTTAAAATGAATGAAAAATTGGCTGTTGTCAAAAGATGGCTACTTCAACAGCTACAAATGATAATGATTTATAAAACAAATTTTATAAAGTTCATTGAAACTATAAGAAAATTTATGTGCTTAAAAGTTCATTTCAGTGATTTAAGTGCCCAACTTACTGTACTGTGATTTGCAGAAGTTCCATTGTATTTGTGATGCTTTTCTATAACTATTGATAAACACATCTTAAGCACTGCAAAAATTTAAGCTTACCCCATCCTCTAAAATCTTGGTAGTTATAATTTTACCAAGCATGTGCATTAATTGTTTCCAAAATCAAAAAAATCCAGAAAACCCTATATGGTAGGCATCATGGAGTGCAAATTGGAGAGGAATTGTAAATTAAGATGCTGTTAATTCATACCTTAACCCTTTAACTTCTAAGATCTGATTGGTAATTCTCCCCTCTAGCTGCTACACATATCCATGTAAATTAGTTATGAGAATTTGGTGTTGGATCAAGACAACAATGTCTGCCTGATAAGTTTGAATATTCTCATTAGCTGTTTGCTGGATAATGTAAGGATACTAAAGGGAGAAGCTTCATGTTGATCATGTCTAGGAGTTAAAGGGTTAAGACATCTTTAACTACACAAAATATGTATCTTTTATTCTAAATAAATGAGAAAAAGGCAACTTTCTTTAAACTCCAAACACTCTGACTGATGCTCAAACAAAAACCACTGAGTCTTAATACAATTTGCTAGTTTTTGAACATAGTTTAATTACCTTGGAAGAGTAAACAAATGCCAGAACTCCAATAGCTAATTCCAGGATGAAAATCAAGATCACCATCACTAAAAACTGTCAAAAATGAGAAGACATAGGCAAGTTAGTTATATTTAACATTCAAAAACTTGGGTAGTCTGTAAAACCAACAAAACTTTTGGTTCTGAAGTACTGAACTGCATAGGGAGCATCTTAAACTACATCAAAAGAAATGATTCCTTTAACTGCCAAAAGGTTCCAAGTATAAAAGCATAGGAACACACTTGCTTTGTTACTAAATATAACACTAGTAAATCCTCTACCAATTGCATGATTATCAACATATTGGAAAATATTTTCATCTCTATTTAAAACTTTACTGTGACTAGTTCACCTCTTAATTGCAAAAAATTATAACTTTGGCACACAACATCATAACTTTATCATCATGAAACAATAGAATCCACCAAGAAACTCACTGAAATTAAGAAAAAGCGATTTTCTTTGGCTGCTCCCAAACACCCTATGATCCCTACAATAACAACCACAACTCCAGCTGCAATCATAAGACCAGGAATAATGACATATATATCACTATCCAGCAAGCTCTGATAGTCACTTTTGTACACCATGATCCATATTCCAACTCCCATAATACCAAGTCCTGCAAGCTGATAACAATTAAAGAATTATGAATTAAAATTAATCTGTTACAGGAAAGTAAAGTTCACCAAAACACACCATTACTATCACATCCTCTTTGATAAGTACCCAAAAGGAGTCAAAGGAGTCCTTGTGTGTTTCTTGTCCCCCTTCTGGGTTGAACAACTAATAGATTCTAATGGTGAGTTACTGTGACAGTGTGTAATCAAACTAAAACAAAATTCCCAATCATGATTGGTAATCATCAGCCCAATATGAATACTTATCAGACAGTGTATGCATCATGCTTTTAACCCTTTAACTCCCAAGATCTCATTAGTAATTCTCCTTACTATCTCCTATACAGTTCTTGTGATGATAGTTTGGAGGATTTAGTATTGGATTATCTTATAATCCCCTAACTGATATTTTTCTTTATTCTCATAACTTGTCTGCTTGATATTGTTTTGATATTGTAAGGAGAAATTCTTTCTTGGTCACTTATGAGAGTTAAAGGGTTAATTGGACAGTGGACGCATCATGTCTATGTAATTGGACAGTCCAACTACCATTACTGATCAAATTGTGATA